GCCCCCCCCCCTCAGATAGTCCCTCATCCTCACGGGAAGGGGAAAATAAAGCGGACAACCCTCCCCCCCAGGAGCTCCCTCGTACTTAGACTACATGAACCCCAAACGTGCGCAGCAGCCAAAAACCCAAATCAAAAGCAAGGGGGGAGGGAGCAGTTTCTGAACGTAACTCCAATGGAAACCTAGACTCAGGACGCCCCTTATATGCTAACACTTTTGAAAGTTTTGGTAAAAAAGTGCTAAAATGCATGTCAACCAACTGTTTAAGCCTCAACAATAAGGTACTTGAACTCAAACCAAAGATAAAAGATCTCCGGCCTCATATTCTTACTCCAGCAGAAACATGGCTAACACCAGATATCTTAGACGGGGAAGTCAAAATAGATGGCTATACACTTTTGAGGAGCGACTGAAACCGAGGCCGCNCCGCGCCGGTGGTGTAGCTGTCTATTTGCGATAATTTCTCCCTCCAGCCATCTTAGTTCCTCAGGATCCCATCCCCATGATAGACACCATTTGGGCAAAAGCATCTCTCTCCAACAAAGATTCCTTGTTACCAGGAGTCATTTATCGCTTCCCAACCAACGACCAAACACAGGTACAGGCTGTCCTTAACCAACTTTGCAGTCCTCGATTTCGCTGCCCCTCTGCAAACGTTCTTAAAACTAGTAACTTTGGCGCTCCATCCATTGACTGGGTTAGGACAAACTCTAGTGATATCTTCTTTGGTTAACTCCTTCTAGACTTCATTGCTGAGATATCTTGGCACCAATATGTGTACTTTCCTACCAGGTTTTGCCAGTCCCCTTCTCTACTCGACTTGGTGATAATAAACAATCGGCACTAAATCGACGAGGTCCACACTGTCTGCCCATTCGGCGAGAGTGACCACTCACTTTTGAGCTTAAACCTTATGGTGCATTGGCCCTCTTATAAGTGAGCACCAAGAACCTTACAGTCCTTCAAACGGACCAACTTCGCTGCTCTAAGAGATTAATTGGCAGCTAATTTGGCTTCTATTAATGTATCTTCAGAAACAAACGCACTCAATGATGACGTTGAGAACGTACTTGGGACAGGCAACTGCTTATTCGGTCCCAAAATAATTACCAAATTCAAATACTGCCCTCCTCTTCGTCGTTCAATACGTCGACTTTTGGACGAACGGAACGTCCTCTTTGCAAGGTATAAGCTCACAAACCTAAATGATGACGCGAATAAATTCAAACATATCAGGAACCTATGCAAGAGCAAGATCAAAGAGTTCTTCAACCGGCAACAAAAAAACATATTGATCAGTGCAAGAAGAAACCCCTCCTGCCTCTTTAAACGTCTTTGTCACAAAAGACAACCTATTTCCTCCACTCTAGCCCTGAAAATTCTTGGTGGCTCTCTGGCCTGACGAGATAGCGGATATCTTCTGAACTCACTTACAAGATATTTTCAATTTCGCTCCACCTAGTTTCTTTCTTTCTCTACAGCCTAAGTCTAGTATAACCCCCATTGAGCACTTCATTGTTAAGACCGTAGAAGTACTGTAACTTACAAAGTCACTAAACCCTTTTAGCTCAATGGGCCCAGAATATTCAAAGAAAAAGCAGCTGTTCTAGCCTTACAATACAGGCGGCTGTTCCAGAACTGCCTAGACAAAGGTGAATTCCCTGATGCCTGGAGAAAGGCAATCATTTCACCGATATACAAAAGGGACCCCGGCATCTCTTCAGCACTTACAGACCTATATGTCTAACAAGCGTCCCTAGCAAAATTTTAAACGTCTCATTGAGAGACATAGCATTGAATACCTGGAGGAAAACAACCTTCTATCCCTTTTCAACACGGCTTCGTTCCTGGCAGATCATGCCTCACCAACATGCTACATCGCATGAAAGATCTAACCCAGGCCTATGGTGATTGCGAAATCTCACGCGCAATCTGCATAGACTCTGCCGAAGCGTTTGATTGAGTGGCGCATTCTCCAATAATGCACAAGCTGGAAATGCTCGGTATTAGCTGCAGGCTCCTTAATCCTCAAAGCAGCTTTTTATCCTCGCATCCCTTCTCTGCCAGAGCAGAAACCTCTTTCTGCAACTCTTCCCCGATGACAATAAGTGTTTCACAGGGATCTGTCCTAGGTCTATTTCTTTTCATCTTGAACATAAATGACCTCCCGAACAAAATCTCAGTCCACATTACTATTTATTCTGTGACTATGATATCACTATCTGGTGTATTGACACAGTAAGGCAGGCAGCCATGGGTATTACCACAGTATGGTCCCTTCCATGTCTCATACCCCACCCGTCCTACCACAATGAACCTTCACCCCTAAACACCCACCGCAATAAAGCGGACATTTTCCTTCTTTCTTTTCTACGGACACGGCAGACCATTGTTTCACCCCATGTAGCATAGATACCCTTCGTGGTCACAGCAAAATGCTATTTAAGACTCGGCCCCGCACTTGAGTTCGTCATTGATTCTTTACCCATAAACTCATTCCTTTATGGAACAGCCTCCCGCAGAAGGTTGTTGACGAGCCTTCAAAAACGTGTTTAAACACAACCTCGATATTTTCCTCGGTCTTAAACACGCAACCACCAACTTCCATTGGTTGCTCCATCTCGACCTGTTCATCTACCTATCCATCCGTCGCATGCTCGTTGTAAATGCTTTTTTCCCAACTGCCTTCAGTTATAACTTTTGTTCTTGTTGTGTATTTTTATGCATACAAAGAACAAACCAAAAAGGAAAAACAAAACAAAACCTGAAAATTAAAAAAAAACTGAAAAGCTTTTTTGAAAGCTATGCGTCATAAATGTCCTTCGTATCCCAAAGCGTGCACTATGTCAAATTTTACTTACGTGTACGTAAAAATGTATTCACTATCAAGAATCGCTTATTTGTGCACTGCAAGCAGATACTGTACCCCTCCACTCCCTTCCTCCCTTTCATTTTCTTTCCTGCAATTACCTTAATCTCCATCTGTCACCCTCACTGGCGGGCCGCGCTCTCGACATCTCGTCAGCGGGCATTACTCATCAATCGAAAACGGACAAGATCCAGGACCATTGGGCTTAGCCTCGAACCCGTGAAATACTTCGTGACTTGAAGATCTGGATGGATCCTTGTAACCATTTATTTGAATTCATTTGCCGTGCTCTTTGTATCACAGTGCACTTCTAACTGATGAACATTGCAATTCTCCCTCTGAAACTTGACTTTTTCACTTTGACCGTTCTCCTTCCGTTTGTTGAACTTGTTTCCCGAGTGGACGTTCCCATCTCGAATACTGTGACCTCCTAAATTTTCTTACTACGACAAAAGTGTACATTGATGTACTCTACATACCAGCTCACCTCTCGTATTCCATTAAATGAGCTTGTTAGCTTTTTACCGCAATGAATATTTGCTATATATACTTTACTCATTAGGAGTTTATGTTCGTAAAATCTTTGTTCTATTACTTCCTGTCTGAATCTTCATTTTTTAAATCATTACTGTACATTTGATCATGCGAATTAGAATACTTCGCGGGCCTTGTGAAATATACCGTATTGTTATTATTATTAGTATTATTATTAATGCAGATAAGTGCAAGTTTGGCCGTACCCCGTTTACGTTTCTGGGGCACACTACAGACCAGAGTGGTATTCATCCCTTAGAATTCAAGTCTGAGGCCATACGTCGTTTCAGCGTTCTCACTATAACTCAGTTTGCTGCGTTTTCTTGGGTTAGGGAACTTTTACCGTCGTTTTATCCAGCGTTCTGCGCAGAACTGTCAGCCTAAGACCGACCTACTTCGCGGCAACCCTAAATCCATGACTTCTAATGACGTTGCCTTCCAGGTCTTCAAGACTGATCGGTCAGTATTTTCTAGAATCATTCTCGTCTCTGTCTCTGGTTATTAACACAATGACATCGTCTTTTCACTGCCGCGGTAAATCTCTTTGTGTGAAAGACATATTGAACAGATTACACAACGGCACTGCAGGTTCGTCTTCCAGCTTCGTTCGTATAAATGGATGAACACCATCAGGTCTAGGTGACTAGCAAACCTTCAGCCAACGCAGCTCTAAGGTCACTCCTCCGATTTTAAACGGCCTCCGATTAGGGGCAGTTTTAGCTCTCAGATGAATTGAAGATGTGCCGGACTATCAGGAACACGCTCGGGCGTAATGCCATGACAAAATCTGTGCTTTGTTCTCATCGTTTTCGGCTAATACCCTATTTTTGGCGAAAGTCAGGGGGCCCGCATTAGCTCTGATTCGTCGCCTGAGGTTGGCCTAGAGCCGCTTTGGAGTCTGTACAGAATCCGCTGCGAGGCATTCCTCGGACATGATCATGTATTTTTTACTGCAGTACACTGATTCCGTATAAATTGAAATCCCGTGCCCGTTTCACGATACCTAGAACGGGCTTTGTTTCGCCACCGGAGGCATTTCCGTGGTTCCTGATCAAACCACGGCGAACTCATGGCTTTTGTTCGGTGGCGGCGTGGTGGAGAGGATTCATGCACGAGATGATGGATTCTGTGACGAAACTTACTCCCAGGATTTATCCACATCTTCAGGATTAGGGTAATCCGAATCCATTAGTGCTGCAGCTTGACGCATTCCCAGAAAGGATAAGCGCCACACATTCCGTCCCTCTTTTGGTGTGTCAGTGTGAAGTCCGCCACGCCTCCAGTATATTTGGAGAACGGAGTGATCACAAGGTGCAGTTGGTGGACGGTTAATCTTGGGCGCATCTGATTGCCTCAGCGAGAGTTATAATTTAAGGATGGATTTCCGATCACCAAATGTGTGGATGGGTAAACGGATAAGCTTAACAAGCGAGAGAGCCCGACAACAAATCCGCATACTGAGAGCAGATGTTGCTTCCCCAGTCAACATTTGGCGCATTCGAGTCACATGAGACAAGACGATGCCCATCGCAGAAGTGACCCTGCAAACCGACCAACAGCTCCAAGACGTACACAGCCGGTGTTCGGTAGATGATTCCTACTTTGGTGTACCCTCGGGCACAAAGCTTGATTCTGCACCACAGTACTTCTCCAAATCCTTCTGGATGGGCGTAAATCCCCAGCAATCGAACAGAAATGCCCAGATGGACAAAAAAGACAACTCCACGGCGGTTAAACGGTCTCCTGCGTCCTCTTCTGATCAAGAGTAGCCAGCGCAGCTGAGGGCACTCCTGATGCACCCGCAACTAACCTATGCAGAGATCAGTTTTCCATTTCTCACAGAGCTCACCAAGTTCGTCCAATGCAGTTTGTGGTTTGCTGCGCTGACCCAGATCAAGATCCTGGAGGAACATTACCGGCGCACCCTTCATCTTGTAGGTCCGCTGGAATACGGTTTTGGCTTAGTCTCAGGCCCAAAAAACCACTTCCAGTGTCCGCAGAGAGTTATCCTGGCGAGGTTTGCAAAGCTGGAAGTCTGCTTCTACTCGGACTGATGCTACGGTTTTCGCCTCGTCGACTACAAACAAGGTCAAGATATACGACCGCAGCCATCACAGGTTTGGGTCCAATCTAACCTGAGTTGTGGTGGCCTCAGCGTCCAAAAGATTGACTACGATCATGCATTGTGATTGCAAAGGGACACTCCTCTGCTGCACAGGTTCCTGGGAAACGCGGGGGCACCTTTGTCCGGGACAGGTTGCTTGCATGCTGCTTGG